CTGCACCTCCTAGGTGTCTCTAGATCCCGCCCTTCACACCCTCCCTGCATCCTCCTACCCCCAGGTTCTCACTGGGTGCCCTGCCCTCCTCACCTCCACGAAGCCCCCTCAGCACTCCTTCTCCGAGACTGAACCACCGTGGCCCTTGCACAGCCCGAGGCTGCCTGGGCTCCCGCTGCTCAGGCTCTCCAGCCCAGCCTCAGGCCGCGCCCTCCCCTCCTCACTCCGGAGCCAAATGCTTTCGGTTCCCAAGTGCAGGACACGGTACCCTCAGCTTTCTGCCCTCAGCTCCCTGCCCGGGTCACGTCCCCCGTCTGGCACCGGCTCAGGCCAGCGTTCCTGCCTGGGGTTTCCTGGCCTCGGCAGCCATCCCCTGGGTGGTCTGGGTGTGTCCGTTCTTGTCTGCCTGCTCCCCTGCCTGCCTGGAAGCCCTTCAGGGGAGGGGGGCTGGGCCTGACACACTTGTGACCTCCAGTCCCCGAGCAGGTATCATGATGGTTTGTTGATTGGACAAGTAACCAGTGCCTCCCAGACAAGACTGTTGTGGAAGTGGGGAGTGGGCGCAGGACTGGGGGTGCGAGCAGGGGCTGGCTGTACAGGTTGTGCCTGTACCTCCTCAGCTTGAATCAATCACTTACTCTCCCTGGAGCCCCATCCTTAAGATGGACGGGGGCAATCAGCCTCAGAACACCCTTCAAAGGGCGGGCTGACTACAGAAGGACAAGGGTAGATGGTCCCTGTCTCCTTCGGTGTCTTGGGCTGGGATGTTCCTCCAGGCATCTGACTGGTGTCCCTCTTGCTACAGAGAAGCTGGTTCTGACACTGGGCTGACTCCCACCATGGCACAGCCTTCAGGGGGCCCCGTGGGCACGGCCTGGGAACTGTCCTCTGTCCACGAAGGCCCTCACTGGAGTAATGAGTCACAAACAACAACCAATTCATTGGCCCCGGGTATAAAAGGCTCTGCTTCCCCTTCCCGGGGTGAGCGAGCCGCCTCCTGCTGCCAGGCTCCTCCACCCGCTGAGCTGGGGCAGGAGAGCGGCTCCCTGCACCTCTCTGGTCCTCAGTTTCTTGTTTCCTTATTTGTCAAGTGTGTGTCCTGCGGGGAGGGGACCACGTGAGCCGAGGCGTGGAGCAGGAAGGAAGGAGGCCAGCTTGGACTGCGGGGAGGGGGCTCCTACCCAAGTTCCCCCATCCCACACCCTCCCCGGGCTCCACTCCCGTCCTGCAGGGCCAGGCCCCAGCCAGGGCAACACAGAGGGTTCCCCGCGTGGCAGGAAAGACACTCTCCATCTTGTCCAAAACGCTACTGGTCCAGTGCGTTTTCTCCTGCACCAGGCAATTTCCCACGTCCTCTCCGCCCTTCCGTTCTTTTCCCTCTCCCAAGCTCTTGTGGAAAACGCACCTGGACTCGGAACGCAGGATTCCTCCCCTACAGCCTCCACGTTCCTGAGGCTCTGGCTGCAAATCTGTCCCGGACTCAGGTGTGACACTGCAGGTGTGTCTGACCCGTAAGTGGGGCATAACAACTAAACACCCCCCACCCCCTCCCCCCACACACAAGGGTGTTACAACAGTCAACGGGGCAGGGCGTGTAAGCCGTGTGCTCCCCAATACAACAGGTGCTCAGTACACGTTCACAGTCAGTCTCACACTCCACTCCGCAGCCGAGACCGCCACGCCTCTGCCTCACCACCCGCCTGCCACCCCATTTCACAGATGAGGCCTAGAGAAGTGGGAGATTCCGGGGGGGCTCCCCTAATAGGACCCGAGGGGAAGGCGTGCCTGGGCCAGCCCCCAAAGGAGCAGGCGCGGTGGGGATGAGGAGAGGCAGAGGCCCAGAGTCAGAGCCGCCCTTTTGTGAAAGCCTCTCTTTCACCCCCAGCCCTAGCGGCTCTCCCCTCTCTGCCCAGCCTGTGCCCCAGAGCTCACTCAGGCCCTCCATTGGTTCGGCAAAATGTCCAGAGCACCTTCTGGGCACCAGCCCGGGCTCTGAGACACCAGGTGGCTGTTCCCGTCACTGGGTCAGGCCGGGGAGCCAGCACCAGTCACACCCCTCACCCAGCTGTCTCTGAGGGACCGGGGGAGAACAGGGTGAGCAGGCTGAGCCCCGGAAGTGGGAGGGGAAGCAGGAGCGGAGTGAGTGACAGGGAAGGGGGTGGATGCTCCTCCTCAGCCCAGAGTCTCAGGGTCACCTAAGGGGAGCTCAGCCCCTCTGCAGAGGCCCTGCCACCCCGAGCTGCTGCTAAGCCCTCTGCCCTCTCCCAGCCGGCTGGCTCAGATCTCCTGCAGCCCTTCCTGCTCCTGCCCCACACCTGGCCCCAGACTTTGGTGTTTGCAGAGCCTGCACCACGTAGGCTCCCAGTCAGCTCAAAACTGGCCTCAGCCCCACTTCCTCCACTCTGGGCCCGGTGCGGGCCACCACCAGGACCCACCACTTCCTGGCTCCACGGCCGGGGACCGGCTGGCCCACGCCCCCCAAAGGGTGTGCTCTGGAGACACACCTTTCTCCGGGGTCTCCTCTCCTGCGACCCCCAAGGAGCTGTCTGCGTGGAAGCTCAGCCATTCTCTCCTCTCCTTCGCCTCAGCTGTCTGCCCACCCCTATCGAGAGCTTTCGACCTGCACTGCCCGGGGTCAGATCTGGGCTCTGTCCCTTACTGGCTGGTATGACCTGGGCCAAGGCACTGACAGCCTGGCTTCTGTTTCCCCCAGTGAAATGGTGGCTGTGGCCTGGGAGGGGAGGGGGGGCGGGAAGAGACAGCCAGCTAGGGCCAGCTGGGGTCATTTTTTCTGTGAAGCCCACTTTTCTGGCTTATCCCTGCTCTACCCCGTCTCCCCAGGGCTTGGCCATGTAAATGGGCAAATAGATGATAACACACACCTTACAACCAGGCACGCTGAGTCAAAAACCTTACTCCAGAGAGGACTCGAGTCACAGGTTGTCTAGTTATAGGCCAGGGGAATAGGCTGACTTTCAAACAAAAACTCAAAAAAAGAAAAAAAGAAAAAAAAAAGAAAAGAAAAGAAAGAAAGAATGAAAGAAAGAAAGGGTGGCCGTGACAGGCATGTCAGTGCTCAGCACAGCGCCTGGCACCGGACACACGGGTGAAGCTGACTGCCGCCCTCCGTCTGCCTATTCAGACTCGGGAGGCCCTGCTGCCGGCCCAGTCTGGGGGAGAACGGGGTTCAGAGCACGGCGGAGTGGCCTGGGGGTTCTGAAGTCTTCCCCCTCCCCCCCCTCCATGCAGAGTGGAGAGGCTGAGGCGGGCACTCAGCAATCTCTGACCGGTCACCGCCAGCACCGAGCCTGTCACTTCACGTCGCTATCGCAGGCCCTTGAGCGGGGTGAGTGCTATTCGTAGGTGAGAATGCTCACAGTCAAGTGCAGACTGTGGACAACAGAGGGGCACTGTCAGCCTAACCGGCAGTAACCTCGGGGGTGATCTCATCGCACATTCCTCACCGGGCGGCACCGGAGCAGTCACACCCGGCTCCTAACTCCTTCAGCAAAAGGTTCCTCTGCCTCCAGCGAGCCTGTGCATCTGGGTTTGAAATGCCTTTTTCCGACCCCTGGGAAGTGGGACTAACCCTCAGGGAGCACAGGGTCTTGTTAACGGTCCTGCAGGCCAACGCCAGCCTCGTTTTCTCCCGCCCTCACATAATCTGCCGCCTTACTTCTAAACGCAAAGGAGAAACTTTCCAAGGCCCTTCCCAGTAGCATCGGAGACCCAGCTTCCCAGCGCTGCCGTCCGTTTGGCTCAAATAAAGTCCATTACAATTCTCTCCAGGTTTGGACGTTTCTTACATCGGCAGGACAAGTGGAGGGGGCACAACTTGAACTTGCGGTCTGCCTGACTCCTGACCTCACAGTCTGCACGGAAGACAGAAAGGCTGTCCCAAGCAGGGCTGCTCCCCCGCCCCCGCCCCCAGCCGTATGGGGACCTGCTCTGTGACCTGGGCAGACCCTTTCCTCTCCTGTGCCTCCGTCTGCCATGCTGCCTCTCAACTGGGAATGGGGCCATGACCATGAACCAGGCCAGGTACCCACCAGGTACCTGCTTCTCGCCACTTGGGGACCAGGAGCCCAGGCTCCTGACTCATGCAGCAATTCGTCCCGCACGGTCACAAGCAGAGAAGCAGACGAGACAGGGGGAAACTTGCGCAGCCCTCTCCCACCCCCGCCAATCCAGGTTGCCCTGCGATGCCAGCCCGACCTTGGCCGCCCGCCACCCCTACCCTTGGCCACTCCCGCCTGTGTGGGGGCTAGCTGGCTTTGGAAGCTGGCTTCTTTGTGCAAACAAGGAAGGAAGAAGAAAGTTGTTTTTTCAGGCAGCAGAGCTCTTAGATAAACACGAGTTATCTCTCCCTCTCTATGCCTTCTTAAAGGAATTGGGTTCCTTCAGAAAAGAAACTAGATTCACGGGCCGATAGCGCCCGGGATGAAGTGCAGCCGGAGCCTGGCTGGGGAGCCAACACTGAAGGAGGCTTTCTTATCCGGCCGGGCACCTGCTGCCAGCCCTGGCAGGCCCGCGGCTCAGGTGACAGGGCCCCGGTGCCAGGCCGCAGCCTTGCCGGCTCCCAGGCTCCCGATGGCCTGGCCCACCTCCTCACCCTCCCCTCCAGCTCCCCCACCTGCAGGCCCGCCCGCCTGGATCTGCCAGGAGGCTGAGAACTTGTGTTCACCTTGGGGTGACCCCTTCCTCCGGGAGCGCCCCCCCCCCCCCCCCCCCCCGCCCAGACCTCGGGAGCAGACCAGCCCCCCTGCTGTCCAAAGAGTGCTAACAACTGGGTATTCCCACGGCAGAATGGCCTTCCTCGCCTGGTCAGAGAGATGCAAGAATGGCCGCGGGCCCATTTTACAGGAGAAGTGAAACCCAGAAGGGGCACTGACCTGTCCAGAGCCACAGAGCAGAGTGACAGAGCTGACACCCCTCCCCCATTTCCTACCCCCACCCCCATCCCCCCAACTCTGGGGCTCCCTGGCCCCAGTGTGGCTCACCGGTGTGGTGTCATCGTGCGAGCGCTGGTAGCGTTTCCAGCGGCAGCCGTAGATGCCTGTGAGGCAGGAGAGGCACAGCTGGGGCTCGTAGTACTGCAGGGGCTGGTGTCTTACCATGCTCGTGCCCGAGGCCCTGGCGCCTGGCCCTCAGGAGCCCATGGGGGGCCCAGGCTGGTTCTGTGGGAGAAAGCAGAAGGCCGTGAGGCAGGGGAGGGGGAAGGCGGCGGCCCCAGACACAGCAAACGTCACTGCAGCTGAGGTCAGGATGGATGAGCTCTGCTCAGACCCCTGCAGGGGGTCCCAGGCCCCGCTGGAGTCAGAGGCCCACCCTGCAGGTCTCCCAGGACGGTCCCCTGCCACCCTCCCCTGCTCTAACCCCTACCCCACCCCTCAGCCACCCCTGCCCGCACACCGCTGCCGCCTCCTCTGCCTGGAGGCCTCTTCCCGTAGGACCCGCATGGCTCCCTCCTTTTCTCCTCTCCTCAGCTCTGCGCTCAAACGTCTGTCTCCACCAGACGGCCCCAGGTCATCTTCCGTGAAACTGCAACCCCTTCCCCTACTGCTCAGCCACGTTTAGCTTTATTTTCTCGACCATAACTTACTTTCTTTGTTTCTCGTCGGCCTACCCCACTATGATGTGTGTTTCACAAAGGCGAGGATTCTGTCTGCTTTGTTCTCTGTTCTATGCCCAGTAGCTAGAACAGAGCCTAGCACACAGAATGTTCCAGATAAGTATTTTAAAATAAATCACCATAAAAAAGTAAATGAAATAAAATGAACTATCATAAAAGCTGACACGTACAGAGCATGTAAAACCTCCCAGGCCCTGGTTGAACGTTTTATAACCATCGTTCCATTTCACTGTCCCAGGTGGAAGGCACTGTGTGTCCCAACCCCGTCTGACAACTGAACAAACTGAGACTCTGCAATAAATAAAAATATATATTTAAAAAATATATATATTTATTTATTGCAGAGAAGAAGGGAGAGGGAGAGAGCGATAGAAATATCAATGATGAGAGAGAATCACTGATCAGTTGCCTCCTGCATATCCTCCACTGGGGATCAAGCCCGAAACCCAGGCATGTGCCCTTGACCAGAATCGGACCTGGGACCCTTCAGTCCACAGGCTGATGCTCAATCCACTGAGCCAAACCGGCTAGGCTCATTGTCCCATGTTAGAGATGAGGAGCCTGGGGCTCGGAGCAGCAAATGATTTACCCAAGGAGCCAGGACTCAACTCCTGGTCTGTGGATTCTAGACACGGAAGCCATTTGCTTTGCACCAGACCCTGTCCAAGGCTCTGGAGACAATGTGTACAGGACAGACACAGTGACCACTCAGGGCCCTCACAGGACCAGCGAGGGGCACGAGCAGGCCCACACTAGGCTCCAGGCACCATCTCAAGTGCTGTCCATATCCTAACTCTAACAGCAACCTACGGCGTAAGTGTTATCATTGATTTTTTTTTTTTTTATTGAGATCTAATTCACACGCCATAAAGTCACCCCTTTAAAGTGTACAATTCAGTATTGAGCATTTTCGGCTTTTAGGATGGTCACGGAGTTGTAACTAATTCCAAAGCACTGTCATCATCATCCCAGCAAAAACCCCATCCTCACCCTGCCACCCCCCAGCGACCCCATTCCCACCCCTCATTCCCTGGCAATCACTAATCTACTTTCTGTCTCTATTTTTGTGCCTACTCTGGACATTTCATATAAATGCAATCATACAATATGCAGCCATTTGTGACTTGCTTCTTTCACTTAGCATAATGTTTGTAAGGATCATCCATGCTGTAGCATAAATCAGTGCACTCTTTTTTACAGCTGAAGAATATTCAATTGTGCAGATATACCATTTTACCCACACGCCAGCTGATGGACATTTGGGTTGTTACTGCTTTGTGGTTGTTACTGTGGATGAAAGGGGCCACATGCTGACCTGCATGGCCGTCTTGCAAACTCAGAGACTTAAAGTAGCCACAAAGGATGGTCTGAAATTAAACTTTAACTGAAAGCAGTTATGGTGGGTAGTTACGTCCTAGGACGGTATCTTCACTGACAAGGTCAACCTTTACCTTAACTGAGCTTATCTGCCTTTTTGTATATATGATAACATATCTAACTGGTTTGGTTCAGTGGATGGAGCATATGCTTGTGGACTGAAGGGTCCCAGGTTCGATTCCCGTCAAGGGCATGTACCTTGGTTGCCGGCACAACCCCAAGAGGGGTGTGCAGGAGGCGGCTGATGTTTCTCTCTCATTGATGTTTCAAACTCTCTATCCCTCTTCCTTCCTCTCTGTAAAAAATAAAATATGTATTTTAAAAAAACAACAACATACCCTTGGGTAACTTGTAACTTCCTTTTTTTCTGGACCTTCTGGGGCACAACCAAATGTGCTGGGTGCCAGGACAGATACCACAAATTCCTTCATTATCGTGTTAATTGTTCCTGCACCCACCTAAGTATGTGTCCATCATTCCATCATTTTACTTTTTAATCTAATCCCAAGTGTCTCTCCACCCCACGCCCCCCACGTTGCTTTCTCCTGCCTCTCTAATCTATCACCAGTGGATTTCATGTAACCCACCTATGTCCCTTCCCTTCCTTTGGTTGCAATGTATAAATACAGATGTAACCTGCCATTCTCCGAAGCATTATCTCAGTTCTGCTTCCCAGCAATTGTCGATAGTTTGGCTCAAATAAACTCACAAAAATTCTTCACAGGTCTCAGTGCTGTTGCTTTTTACGTTAACATTATGGACCACACTGCTGTGAGCAGGTTTCCATTTCTCCCGAGTCAGTACTTTGGGCTGGAATTGCTGGGTCATAGGGTTTAACCTTTTGAAGAACCGCCAAGAGCTGCTTCCCTCAGCGGCTGCCCCGTTTTACATCTCAGAGCACTATCATTACCATCTCCCTGGCACACCTGAGGAATCTGGAGCACAGAAGGGTTCAGCCGCTCGCCGTAGGTGACCCAGCAGAGCCAGGCAGTCTGGCTCCAGCCTTCTTGCTTTAACCAGGGGCCATATCCAGCCCAGCCTTCTTGCTCTGACCGGGGGTCATATCCAGCCGGCCACCTATTTTTGTCTCCCATCCAAGTACTCACCAGGCCCGTCCCTGCTTAGCTCCCGAGGTCAGACGAGGTCGGGTGTGTTCTACGTGCTATGGCCATACATAGCCAACGATTTCTTATAGCCCACGAGCTAAGAACGATTTCTACATTTTTAAAGGATTGAGAAGAGAAAAACCCAAACAAGAACACACTTGTGGCACATGAAAATGAGAGTCACATTTCAGTGGGTCCATAAAGAGCGTTTCCTAGGAGGCAGCCAGGCTCACTCGTGAACGTATTGTTACGGCAGCTTTAACCGTAGCTGCTGAGCGGAGGGGTTACAGCCACGTCCATATGGCCCACCAAGCCCAAAGTGCTGCCTGGCTCCGTACAGGGAGTGCTTGCTGCCCCTTAACCACGGGCTGCAGTGGCTCTTAAGTGCAGCGCATGGCGGAGAGAGTAAAAGGAGGCTCTGAGCACTTAACACGGGGCAGAGAGGGTCAGCGGCGCTTCCTGGAGGCGGCACTGAGCTGAGGCTATCACATGAGCTCCTAAGACGCCTTTTTTTTTTTTTTTTTTTTTTTTTTTTTCCCTCTATGCACCCCAAGATGCCTCTTTCTAAATGCCCAGGGCTGCACCCCCTACTTCTACCTCTGGGCCTCATTCAGGACCTCTGCCTCCCACCCACTCCCTCAGCCCCAGCCCCCACCCAATGCTAACCTCAGCACAGGGCGTCCAGCCTCCAGCCTCCAGCCTGAGGAGAGAGATGCATTAGGGGCTTGCTGGGAACATCGACTGATCCAGGGCCTCCTAATTGCTGGGAATGGTGCAGAGTGGTCCCCGTGCCCGTGGCTCCCCCAGGAGCTGGGGGAACACGGTGCAGCTGCTGGGATTTCTCTGAGTCGGGGCAGAGCCGTGGGCTTGGGGGACAGTAAGGCATAGGGATGCTATTGGGGTGGGCCTAGCTCCTGTGGGGTTGGGGAGGCCTGGGGAGCCCAGAGGGGATGCCCTCAGCTTTACGCAGCCAGATCTCATCCAGTGCACCCCCAGAGTAGTTTGATTACCACCTCTGCCATCAGGAAGGGAGGGGGCAGCTGATGTTTAGGAAGAAGCCTGGATGCATCCTGTGTCAGCTGCTGCCTCGCACTGCGGCCGAGGCCTCTCAGCGCTCTTCCCTGAGCCTTGCTTCCTGAATCTGTAAAATGGGGTGACAGCCCTTCTCTGGGCTTCAGCAGGGACCAGAGTTTGCAGGGGGAGGGTGCCAGGAGGGCACGTGGCTGCAGTGACTGAGGCAGGCAGAAGCCCTCACCCAGATGCCCCTGCCCTCACATTCCTTCCCCAGGACCCCTCACCCTGGGGCTGGCTCCCGTGTGAACTCCGCTCCACCCTTCCCTGCTCGCCCACCCGCACGGCTGAGCAATACCATCCCTCGGCATGGAAATTCCACTCAGGTCTGGAGAAGAGGGAAGCGGAACTGTCTGCACCGGCCTCAGCCCAGGGCTCAGCTGACTGTGGCTCTCGGAATGGCCTCTCCCCAGGAAAACCTTCACACGATTCATCACGCTGGGCGCCCTGTGGCAGGCAAACCTCTTCTCTTTTCTTCCCGTGATCTCTGGGGCCACTCCCACGGCTTTGGTTACCGGGTACTGCCACGGCCACCCAATCTCTGCTTCTCCATCAAGATAGAGGCTCCTGGCTGTCTCCGGGGGCGTTGCTCAGGCCCTGCACAGGCACTGACCCCCTCCACCCCCAATCTGCTTCTCATATCCCTCAGAGCCCTTTTCTCCCCATCCCATTGGCTACTGCCCTTGGGAAAGGAAGGCACTGGCCGTGAAACCAAGGTCCCTCCAGAAAGATTTGTTTGTTTTTTGGTTAATCCTTACCTGAGGATATTTTCCCCATTGATTTCCAAAAGGTAAAAGATTTATGCCATCCGAAGATAAACCAGAGTATTTTCCATTGATTTTTAGAAAGAGTGGAAGGAAGAGGGAGAGACCAAGAGAGGAACATCTATGTGAGAGACACACATCGATGGATTGCCTCCCACACGTGGCCC